CGAGCGCCCCCCCCCACCGCGACTCCCGCCCCCCCCACTGCCACTTCCGGTGCTTGACGAATCTCGGCGCTTCACGTGCTCAAACCTGCATTTGTCGCCGAAAGAGCACGTGCCAGAGTCGCGGAACTGGAAGCACTCCCTTGTGACACGCTTCCGTGACGATGAATCACCGCGATCCAGTTGGCCCGCCTCACGCTTGCCGCTCCCGCCCCGCGACTCTCCTGTTCCGGGGAGGGATCGTCCGTCACTCAGGACCAGCCGGAATAGATTGACCCCCCGTTCACAGAAGTTATTGATGTTGGGGAACTCGTGCACCGGCGGCAAGGTGTGTCCGTCGAACGCGTCCGGCGGGTAATGCATTTTCGTGAAGGGGTACATCCAGGTGATGATCGCAGTTGTCCACAATTTGACGTCCTCGTTCGGTAACCTTGGCAGTGCCGCCCGCTGGTACTCGTCCGGAAACACATCACTATTCCGCACGAGAGTAGTCCGAAACCTGGAGCGTGCGTCCGCCATGGCTGTGGCTATGGGTTCCAACCGCCGCAGCGATTGCACACCCGCGGTCGTGGACGAATCTAGACCAAACTTCAACAGCCGCATCACNAGTCCGAAACCTGGAGCGCGCGTCCGCCATGGCTGTGGCCATGGGTTCCAACCGCCGCAGCGATTGCACACCCGCGGTCGTGGACGAATCTAGACCAAACATCAACAGCAGCATCACCGCCTCACACATCACGTCGAAGTTGTCTGCAATAGACGACGTACGGGCAACCCCCACGGGCCGGAAGCTTTTGACGTCGAAAGACGAAAAGGCACGCATCTGGGCGAGGACGTCGCCCGTGACGTGAACGATATCGCCCATCAATCCCTGCAGGTCCTCCTTCTGTGGCCCGGGCTCCGGCCCCCGCTGCCCCCGAAGTACCCAGAGTGTCTGATTATATTTGGCCTGCCAAATGGTGGCCTCCCTCCTCGCCTCCTCTTTGGCGTTGGACCTCGCGGGCACACTCGCCCCCCCGCCCGCGCCCCCGCCCCACGGCGACGACGCCGGCACCAGACCGAGGCGAATGATACCGTCCTGAGAATCTACTGCCTGATACTTGAGGGCATGGAGACGTTTCCATCCATTATGTAGTACAGACGTTGCCAACGACCAGGACGACAGATTTTTCGAATTGTGCCATCGAGGAAGCCCCACAACAACGTGGAAGGGGCGAGCCGCGGCTAGATGTTGCTTCACAGAAGTCGTCTATCTTAGGAAGAATAGCATCGACCTGCAAATCCCGCACAAGGTGTCCCCATCGATCGTATATAGCCTCAATGGTGACATTGAACACCTCGCAAACGAGTGTCTCCCCCATGCCCCAGAACAGGCGATCGCGTAGCAACGTCGTNGTAGTACAGACGTTGCCAACGACCAGGACGACAGATTTTTCGAATTGTGCCATCGAGGAAGCCCCACAACAACGTGGAAGGGGCGAGCCGCGGCTAGATGTTGCTTCACAGAAGTCGTCTATCTTAGGAAGAATAGCATCGACCTGCAAATCCCGCACAAGGTGTCCCCATCGATCGTATATAGCCTCAATGGTGACATTGAACACCTCGCAAACGAGTGTCTCCCCCATGCCCCAGAACAGGCGATCGCGTAGCAACGTCGTTGGCGCAGAAAATCTCCACAGAGTGACTGCCAAACACAGATGTGCCGGAATTATTAGCACTCCTCTCCCCCCCTGCCCAGTGACAAATTCGAGGCGAGATCAAAAATACAACACGGGAACAGGGAGTCGGGGTTATGGAGAGGTTGGGGGACACCTCGACGAAGAGAAGCAAGATGAGCAGGGTAACCCTACGGCGTATCACAGGAACACTAGACTAGTCTAAAGCACACAATGGTGTTTCAGTGTTGTTTCCTCTAAGAGCGGATCGTGGGACAGTCACAAGCGTGAGTCACCCCGGGAGTTTCATCGCTTTTAGACCTCCGTCTCCTACCCCTAAACCTGAACCTCTTTTTGGTGGCCGCAACAGCAGTAGTAGTCGCCTAAACCGACAGAGAGAGGCGGACATCTTCAAAATTCAAAAATTTCCGGAGTGGTAGGACTACGTCCAGAAGAGGGTCGCTGCGAATCGACACCAAACGCATTGCCCTAACCCTTAGCCTGCATATGCAACAACCCGCCTTGGCAGCATCCACGAGCCTCAATATTCCCTAGGGGTCCACTGCTGCACGGTCGTTCGCTTGTGTGCGGCATTAGACTACTGCTGACCCAAGAGGACCAAGGACCAGAGGCATGAGATTTCATGCCGCAGCGTGCCATCTCACCCCGAAATCACGAACTCGGGTGGAAGCTCCAGCGCCGCCACAAGCCGACGGAAGTGGGGCTTCTCGAACCTCAACAGTTCCTTGAAGTCGAACCCACCAAGCACCTCCATGAAGTCGTACCTCACGCCATCTAGATGTGTCGGCGCGACGAGCTCTTGGAACGCGGGCCATTTCACCACCCAACATGCGCCCACAACGAGTAATAGGTCCTCCTCACCTAGCACTCCGCACACTGCCGCGAGCATGACGATGCGCATGCACTCAGCGTACCGCTCATGGCCCATCCTGGCACGGTGGAGGCGCGCCATCGGCGGTGGTGTGCGGAGTGTGGGCCAGGATGGTCCGTTTGTGTACGCCCGACTTGAGGGGGAGGGTGGAGCTCCGTCGATCATTCACACCAACAGGCTCACGTCTCGCCGCCTTCGCGGGCTGGTATTTTTCAACTACCAATTGCTCGCCAGTTCGTGCCGAACTGGTAAAAATGAACCGGTGAAAAGCGCGGAAACCCCGATATGTCTAGTCTACCTCAGAAGGACGCACTACAAGACCGTCTGCAAGCAACTTTCAGTAGGTTTCCGTTCCCAAATGAGAACCCACCCGATCTATCGTATTTATCCTCATCCTCGGTCGCTGTTTCAAACGTTGGGAATCCGCGTGTGTTTCCGTGCCCGTTTACCGCTCATCGCAGCCGTCGATCCTCTCGATCAACGCCTATTCTCCCACGGATGCTTTCGCCTCGTCTACACTGGTCGCATCTAGATGCAACGTCACGCTAATAGTCCTTTGATGGGGCGTTAATGCCACGCCGTATGCATACATCGTCGTACATGTGGCTGTTCAGGGCAGCCGCTTGATTGATCTGCCCCAATAACCACCCCCGAACCAAGCCTAAGAACATTCAAACAACCAAATACAAGCGCAATGACGCTCGCTGAGGGGGACCCCGAAGACGAAATCCGTCCGGAAGCTGCATCGCTTCATGTATCAAGCTGTGACCAGGGGTCAAAGGCCGTTTCTTCCCACGTCCAACCTCAAATCCTTTCGTTTGTAGCAACTACATCCACGCAGTCCCTTCCGAGGAACTGGAGATCTGTGAAGGTCTGCTTGCTGTACATCGGCATCCTTGTCGTGGTTCTTTGTTTTTTGTCGTCAACGTTCAACTCAACCTTCAGGGGTATGTAGCAGGTTGTTCGTTCTTACCTCCTGTGTACCACAGTGTTATGTACATAGCGCGAGTGTATTTCGTACTCGTACAGCAATAGTTTCAGGGTTTATCATCGGTAACGCTCGTTGAGGCGGACACAGGGTGCAGGCTTGTATGGTAGTAAATACGTAGTACATCGTTGAGGCGGGTCAATGCAGTTGCTGACGTTTGTCCTCCTGTATGTTCTTCGTGCCCCTTTCCTCCCCTCGCTCCATCCGTGCATCAGGCAGTCTCGCTCAGCGTCCTAACGGCACCGCGGCGCTGGCGGGAAGCCGGCCGCTACTCGAGCCTCACTTGACAAGACGGTTCATCCTTAGGTGGGTCATATGCTTCGAGCAGCAACAGGGGGTTTCATGCAGGCCAGATTGCGATACAACTCTACGGATGAGCGTGATTTTGTTGAGGGATACACTTGCATGTGTGCTGCTGGGAGCGAAATTTGCGTTAATCAAGTGTTTATAGAGTTTCTGCATTTTTGTTTACGACACAAATCGATGGCACAACGGCTGGACACACTTTTTCCAACTGTCCGCGGTCCAACCATGGCACTACAAAGGACCGTAGAGAAGTTCGACGCTTGGGGATGTTCACTTTTGCCTTTTGGCCTCTGATGAAAATGCTGAATCGCAGAGCACATGGCATGTTGTTGCTTTGGGTGGTAGGTGTTTATACAACCGAACGCTGGACATCAAGACGGGGTCGAAGGCTGATTTGGCGGTTCCTCTCCGTCGAACAGCTACCCAATCTATGGGGGGCCAGGGCAGTGTTTGAAGACGTGGTGTTAAACCTGCGCGATGTCACCGCGATTCAATGCGAACCTCTTGGTGATCATTGGCAGCCATCTTGCATCGCTGCGGAGAACTGTTGTGACGACTGGAGGATATGACCGCTTGGTTTACACAACGAATGTGAGATCTAGGGTTCTTTTGCCATACTTATTCGTTGCTGTTTCATCGAGCGCCTATTCGGCGAGCAAATGCTGTTGTGTCCGTTGGAATTTGGAAATGCCTCGTGTAATGATTGCAGCGGTAGCAGCCGGTGGCTGGGGTAGTGAGTAGGGGCGGTTTGGTGGGGACGGGGGCGTCCATGCCGAAGGCGAAGGTGGAGATGAGGGGATAGAGGTACCATCCGTGCTATGGAGGCTGGACATATGTCATTTTTCGGGGGATCGTGCAAACCTTTTTTGCGGCCTACGCCACATATTTATCGGGTGAGACTGTTTCGGTGAAGTATTAACTTCATTCACGAGAGGTAGACGACCGTATTTCACACGGACGAAAGAAGCAGTGCTCCAAACAGAGAGTCTCCAACAGCAGTGCCCCCTACCAAACGGCAATCTCACCAGTCTGCGTGACACATAATCATCCAGCACATGTATCCCACACTAATGTTCGCAGACCCACGAACACCCTCCCTGGTTCTTCACGCAAGTGACCAACCATCAATGGGGCAAGAACGCCCCTGGATTCATCAGAAATACCAACATGGTAATATATCGAGGGAAACCCGGCGTCCGGGCAAAACCCCTAAAAAAAAAACTACCACCACAAAAACCGTCGCTATCACAGCGGATCACAACGGCCGCACTTATTAGAAAGACCAAGGCGAAGAGAAGAACGCGAGGAACTACGTTCCCGCGGACGATGGTCTCCCAACGCCCCCTACTCCTGCCATTGGTACACAGACCGCAACAATTTTGCGCCTTTCCCCGCATGGAAAACATGACCTCTACTCCGGCAAATTCATCAACTTGCGCCGGTGGTACTGCAGACTGGCCCNGAAGAACGCGAGGAACTACGTTCCCGCGGACGATGGTCTCCCAACGCCCCCTACTCCTGCCATTGGTACACAGACCGCAACAATTTTGCGCCTTTCCCCGCATGGAAAACATGACCTCTACTCCGGCAAATTCATCAACTTGCGCCGGTGGTACTGCAGACTGGCCCTGCTAAGGGCCTTGGTTAGGAGGTCCGCGTGTTGCTCCGTTGTCGGCACAAATTCGACCGAAATATCCCCCGACCTAAACAATCCGCAGATGATATGGAACCTCACGGCCATGTGTTTCGTGCGACCTGAGCTGAGGGTGTTCTGCACCAACGCTATGGCCCCCTGGTTGTCCTCAAGGACCAGGATGCTGCTACTACTGGTGTCTGGGGCAACAAACGAAAGCACAGCATGCACAAACAACGCCTCGTTGACGCCCTCCCCGGCAGCAATGTACTCGGCTTCCGTCGAAAACAAAGACACGATGCTCTGTGTCTTGCTACCATGGCTGACTACGGTACCTCCGACCGTCGTCGCCAACCCTGACACCGAACGCCTATCCGCCGTGTCGGCGTAGCTAGCGTCTACGTACACGGCCAGCCCGAACCCCGATCCCCGTTGGTAGGTGATGCCGAGGTCCCTCGTCTCCTTCAAGTAGCTGAGGATCTTCTGTATGG